GGTTACACCATATTCCCCGATACTCTGCTACGGATGGCTTTGTTGACGTTAGGTGCTGTCTCGAAGCCGGTTGCCATCAGAAAGAAAGATTATTGACCAGTTAAACAAGACCGTGCTAATTCGAACGCGAAAAAAATTGTAATTTAAATTATTAACGCCAGCATTGACCATAAATCGTGCGAAGAGTAAACCTACCTATAGTAATGTGCACGGACGTTACAGTACCAACAAATATCTTTTTTTTATATTTGATCATTTTGCTTTCACAATGCTATACTGAAAAATATTCTTAAAGAAAAATGCTTAAAAAAAGCCGTTTACTCCTGGGTAGCTCAGTGATTTCAACAATCGCCCGAATTACGAAAGGTCATGACTTCAAATCCTACTCAGAGTGCCAAGGATTTTTTTAAACATTTTTCATTAAAAAAATATATATATATTATATAAAAAATCATTGAAAATCCTTGAAGATTTTGGATTGATTGCCTGAATATTGAAAATTCGCTCACTAGTAGCGAAGAATAGTAACTGCTTCAAAAATTCGTCAGTCCTATTGAGTCTCGGGTAACTCAATGGTTTGGTAACGGTCGCCCGGATTGCGAAAGGTTGTGGGTTCGTGTTCCATCTCGGAGTACCTGAGGCTGATGGATTTTTAAGTATTTTCATTTAAAATATTACCTGCATATAGTTTCAAAATATTTAGTACTCGTGATTAAAATTATGAATAGTTATTAAGCCAATCGAACGAAATTACTACAAGTAAGATATTCTACATTTATGAAATGGGTTTTCAATATGTATTATATATTTTTAAAAAACATTAAATTTACTTCACATTATATTTGACACTTTTTGTACTAAATGTCAAAAAATTCAAACGTTATGGTCGAATTTCAACAATCGGTCATTACTAGTTTCGATAAAGTTAGAAATTTTGTTATTATTTACTTTCAATTGCCATTATATTTTGCATATTCATTCCAATGTTGTCTTTGCAAGAATTTTGAGTTTAATTAACGGATGCCTCATATCAGTATAGTAATAGTAAAATAAAGCGAAATGGTTTTATCCTTATATCCTCTATACCACGTGATTCTCCTATCCAGAGATCACGTAGTTGAAATTTGGTACACATATGTACCAAATTTATGTTTGTATTTCGGAATCCTAAAAACAACAAATACTCCTATAACTGTATAAACTTATTTATCAGCATAACATCAACTTTTTGTTAAATATGTTTTAATTAATAAAGTCATCTAACCTCAAATAAATATAGAACTAAAAACCATATATATCTTTCTTATATATAATAGCGTATTCAAATCCCCCCTATGAATATTACTATTGATTTAACTATTAAACATAATGAAAATTTCCAAGAGAAAACATCCACACATGCACACGACAAACAAGATAACGTACAGTTAGAAAAACAGATATACAATCTCTTCTACTTTAATAGATAAATAATTTGTTTGAAGACTACTTACGTTACCATAGGTATACATACATGATCTACAATAAGAGGTTATAATTGTTGTAAGATGCTCATTTGGTGTAGAAATTGTACACAATGGGATAATATTTATTTATTGTACTTAAAGGAAAGCTATTAAAGAATGTATAGCTACACGTCAGTTTATCACGATATGTCAAATTTATCCAATTCATTTTAAACTCTACCACTATATAAGTAAAATTTTAAATCAAATGGAGAAATTTGACAGATATGAATAAGCGTTTTTTTCATCTCGACAGAGGAGAGGAATGCGTTAGTGCGATTCGTCTACCCTACCCACCATCACGAAGAGACTGCTTCTAGCTTTGTATAGCCTGACTGTTTATTTATTTATTTTCCTAGCTGTTCCCTACTCATTAGCAGGACCCTGGTGCTGTTGACTGTACATTAAACTTCGCAAGTAAAGTAATCAATACCCCCCCAAGAAATATATTATACTTAATACTACATTGCTTAATACACTGTGTACCACTGAATCGTCCGCAACGTTGATTCTCCTACGGATTTCTTCGTTCCCAATACGATTTCGTAAAGTAACACCAAGCATTACTCTCTCCATAGCCGACTGGGTGATCTTGAGCTTTCTTATGGGACCCATAATGAACGACCACGTCTAACTTCCGTAAGTCATCACTAATAACACCCACTGGTCGAAGACTTTTGTCACCGAGGTAATTTGGATGCAATGATTTTACGTAGCTTGCCAAACGCTGTTAATCCGAGCTGGATTCGACTAGAGATCTCTTTCTCGAAGTTGGACTTGCCTAGCTAGATTGTCTGTCCTACAAACACCTAATGGTTGACAAGTTCAAGAGTAGTATTCCCAACTTTAACTAAAGTGAGTATAACACAGATATTGAACATAATTTTCTTCTTAACCTTGTTCATCTTAAGACCCACTCTTTGGGATGCACTGCTGAAATCTTCTAGCATGGTGTTTAGGTCCTCCAAGGTCTCAGACATTAGAACTACATCACCAATAGTCCAATAGCTTGGCAATATGATTCAACGTAGCGACACAGCAGTTTTGGAGAAATAACGTCTCCCTGTCTCAAGCCCCACTGCAACTGGATTGGATTGGAGTACTGGTTCTGTAATCAGACCGACATAATAGCATTCTTGTATAAACACTTTAGCACTTCGATATACCTGTAGTCCACTTGGCACTTTTGGAGAGACTGCAACACTGCCTATGTCTTAATCGGATCAAAAGCTAAGCATAGAGGCAAATATACTCTTAGGATTCTGAATAACTTGCCGCAAAGTATCGATGTGGTCAACGGTACCATAGCCTCTTGTTAAATAAACCAGCTTGTTCGGGAGGTTGGAAGTCGTCGAGCCTACGAGCGAAAGAGTTCGTAATGACTCTTGAAAACAACTCATAAATATGGCTAAGTAGCGAGATTTTTTAAATATGGTTGTTATCAGGCATTCTTCAGGTAATGTTATATCCCCATCCGCAAATGTAGGCGTTGAAGTAATTGCTAACTTAACTATTGAATTGAAGGCGCTATCAAAAAGTTAGGCATTTCTAAGGGACCTGGCTTTGATGGTATTCAGTTAAATTGTGTTAAGGCCATCATTACGCCACCTTATAACTCCCTGCGTTATTGTATTTTTGCTTCTATTTGGAAAAAGGCCATATCATGCGTCTTCACAAAAATGGATCTAAGTCAAAAGTTGAGAACTATTCAGATATAACGATCTAGCACTATCGGTAAATTAATTGAAAAATTTGTATATGAACTTGTTTATCTAGAAATAACTAAAAGCATTCCTGTTGGCCAGCATAGTTTTGCAAGGACATGATCCATGATTACAAATTGATTTTTGTTTCACAGATTATGTACCAAAAGAATATGGATCATGGTGGTCAGTTTGATGTGATCTATACTGATTTTGAGAAAGCGTTTGATCGCGTAGATCACATCATACTACTTTCCAAGTCACAAACCTTAGGAATCAAAGGAAATGTATAAAGATCGATTGAAACACCACAGATATTATGTTATTTATGTTGCACACTGAAACAGAACCCTTTTCAATGACTTGCAATGCCAATTTCTCTTTCCTGTTTTTACTAATCTTCCACTCACGGTTATTGCCTCTTCCGCTCACGTCATTGTATCCTACAAAAATTCGTTTATTTAATTGACAGCTTGCATAACTTACACAATAATTATATACATAACAAATTAATATAAACAATCTAAATTCAAACTCATTGTGAACATAACATTCGAAACATAAATATAAACATTCGAAATATATCTATATATATAAAAATTTTGTGTCACGATATATGTTGCCAATAAACTCCAAAACTTCTGAACCGATTTCTATCAAATTTCACATGTAGCCGTATTTTGGTCTAACTTACTGGATGGGATAGTTATCATCTCAATTATTCGCTTATGTCGTGAATGTAAACAAATAAAATGTTCTAATTAATTGTTTCTTAAGCAAGTGTTTATTTACTGTTTAGTTTTATGAAGTTCTCATAGATGGCGGTGTACTTTGATTCATAGATAAAATTCTTCAATATCGTTTGACATCTAGGTTGCAAATACACCCAATAGATGGCGCTGTATTCTAGATGGCGTTTATTCTAAAGTAATCTGCGGTAACGTTTCTTTCAAAGAATTTTGCGTAGATTACGTTTTCGATTAAGTTTTGTGTAAACTTCAGAACTGTTTTGTTTTTTCATCTTTATTTCAAATTGCTTTGAATTGGATTAATATCTCTAAAGTTTCAAAGATAAAGTGCTGAAACATATTGGACATTAGTTGGTATTTTGTTGTTCTATCGTCGAACTTAAACATCAAGGTAATTTCATCATCAGTTCAAAAAAAAACGGCGTTTTTGGAAAATATGATGCCCAAAGTAACTATATCACGCGGATGAAGTCGCGGGCAAAAGCTAGTATATCTCTGTATGTTTATATGTACATAAGTACACAGTGAAACAATGATTTAGTGTATACCTATATCTACTGGTTAATTGAGACTCAAGATTTAGCAGTGATTTTATTTGAAGATATTTAATTAGAAATTAAGGTTGAAGATGTTTTATACAATAAAAAAATACTTGAGAAAATCTAGGTTTTTCGTATCCAAATATTAAAAACACTCATTACACACAGCTACTTCTTCAAACAAACAAGAGAGCCGATTATTCTGTGATTTCAATATTTTGATTTTGCAGTTACGTATTGAAAATATTGACAGTATTTTATTTTTGGTTATAAGTATATAGGTTCATATTAATAACAATATATTATTATGCTGATCGTACAGATGTTTTCTATTTTGATTGTCTTCGACGGGAAAACCTCAGGCAGTTTCTATTAAATTAGTTTGTTCTTCGTAATCCTTCCATAAATACAATAACCGTATATATTAACGATATTATAAGCATCACTCACAATTGAAATCGAGACTTGTTTAATACAATACGATATTACGAATCGAACTCGAAGATGTTTTCTAAGATTTTCATCTTACTTTGCATTGTGGTAAGCAATTTTTTTATTCTAAATTCGATAACGATTAAAACAGTCTCCGGGTAGCCATATTATCACATTCCATAAATATTCCAATTCATTATTAAAAAATATTAAAGCAATCTTTTAGTACAGACAACATCATAGCAGGTTATACAAATCTCGCAAATTTGTCTGATCGGTTTTAAGCCTTAAGGCTTTGACGTAAGTGTTTAGTGCACTGCAAAAATTTGTCATTTTATGATATTCTGAGCTGCTGCTGGGTGTACTTACTTGTGAAATATTGAAATATCTAAAATTCTTTCCTCGGGTATTAATTTCTTTCTACCCACGTTCCTAAACAGTCTTCTTCGGTCAAAATTTAATGTAAACCAATGAGCTAACCTCGGCAATTAAAAAGGGTGGTAATAATATATAATGTTTTGTCCGAAATAACTTAAATTATTGATTTCATAGATTGCACTATCATCTGCTGTCCCAGCTGGTGGTGGTTGGGGAGGAAACCCATGGACTGCTGCTGGAGGCAATGGTTTAGCTCCTGGTGGTAACCCATTCATTCCTCCTTGGGTAGCCCAAGCGCCATGGTTCCCTCAATGGACTCCTTGCACCGTCATCGGTTCATCATGCGTTGACTGCACAACTAAACAGGTCTGCACAAAGATTGGTGGTATCCAACGAGCCTGCGCTGACCCTACATTGCCGTATTGCAACCTCGGAGAATGCTCAGCAACTCCATCTGCTGAATGCCAGCCATCGACAACTGTTCCTGCGGAAACCGCTTAATATTAATTACTGAATGCCACAAATTAATTACCTCTTCGAGTGAAGTTTATACCAACGTTAACTTTTAAATGCATATATTTGATAAGTCTAATAACGCACAGCTTCAAATCAAGCAACTATAAAAGTTCAAAATTCTGCAATCAATTTTTAACTTTACTCTCTATTATATAATATTAACTTTACAGATTAAGGCTATAAATCGATTGAACTTTGTTCTTTAATAGTAACTTAACATGGTTTCGAGTATTTTAATAAAGGAGAGTTTATTTATAAGAAAATAAATATTTTCACAATACGTACATATATTATTTATATATCTGGGATATGTCTACGGTTTAAATATTTTATGTCCTATACATTAAACTTAGCTGCTTACTGATCCTAGAACTGCGCTAGGAAGACGGTACACTGAAAAATAATAATTAGTAGGTCAAAATAAATTTTTTTTTTTTTTTTACTTAACTAGTTACTTTTTCATGCTAATTTATTAGTAAAGTTTAGAATTGTTTTATTGAAAATTACGTTGCTGATTGCATAATTTAACCTTGACCTAAGCCAAACGCATTAGAATCAAAAACTGATTTGTTATTTAAATTACAAAGTTCAAATCTTAATTTATGACAGAAAAGTAATGTACTAGCAAGACTAGCGATACAGTCAGTATACTATCGGTCGCAAAGAACAGAGAAACATTCACGCATTAACCAGTTTATCAGTAGACCGAAAACTAGTCTATCATACCCAATAAACAGTCTAAGAAAACGGTTCGTTCATTTAATGTCCACGCCTAACTAGGCAACTGCTTTACCTAAGAAAAAAAAATGAAATTAAATTTTATTCCATTCACACATTTCCGTATTTTCCATTTAATACACACATAAATCACAGGTAAATAGGAAGCTAAAAGCAAAATTAATTATTAAATAATTGAACTTTAAAAAATAAAGTGGTCAATTATTTATAAAGTTACTTCTATCAATTACCATATTAAAAATAACAGTAGTAGTTCAAGTAAAAAGGTTGTACGAGACAAGTAACATACATACAGCCAGTTGTATGAACGTCCATTTACATACTTTTTAAGTAAGTAAGTAAACTCATGTTTAAAGCGACTTTAGCGATACACATTTCAAAACAACACTAATTAAAGCTTAAAGTCGTCATTAAATCTTAATGGACATTTGTGCATCTGACTGGATTGCAAAAGTAACTACACCGTTTTGCAACAACCAATAGTTAATGATTTTGCCCGCGTAGCAAACGAACTCGAAAGACTCTAGCCAAAGCGAGACAAAGAATGAGATTAATATCTCATAGACATATTTCACTCTCGACCGGTTGCCCTAGCTAGCCTCTCGAACGCTCCTTAAGTCTCGAGTCTTTCTAAAGTCTCTCGAGTTCGTCATGCTACTCGAGCTGGATATTACTACAATAAAGGAGTTGATTAAATGCTTATTAAATAAGTATAATAATTTAAGATGCATTCTGTAACAAAAGTATATTTTAATAAAATAATTGCTCGAAAACAGCGCAATTAGAACAATTATAGAGGTATTATCAAAATAAGTCGTATTAACACTTCACTCATCTTTTATTATCATCGATTATAAAACACAAATTGCCTTTATATCCTTTTGTTCGTTAGTTATCATCTATAAAATTTTGTGAATGCAGAAATCAACAAAAATATTAAATTAATTGTGTGCATGTACGAAATTTTATCATAGATAAGAGATAAAAACAATATCTATCACATAATGGTATTGGTAACAATTTTATTTCACAAACGTAGCTAAATTCAATTTAAGCCCAGTCAAAATTTTGATTTTTTAAATAACCAGGATATAAATAGTAAAGCAATTAGATAATAATAGGCAAAAGTATAATTCAATTTTTTTGATTACATGTAAATACGGAATAACATTAAATGAAACCCAAAATACAATTAGTTTTTTTAAGTTTAGAGAGAGAATAGTATAACGGAATTTGCAACAATATAGTACATAATCTAGTACTCTCCTCTGTGGGTCGTCTAAAAGGCGGAAGTTGGAACCCTGGAGGTCTTTCCCAAAAATATCCTACAGTGTTAGATTCAGTATACCTGTAGCTTATATACCGTGAGTTTTACAGGATTCTAAACTTAAAAACCATCAGACACAAATCAAAACAATCTTCGCCATACCTATCATCATCATAAGCCCTTTATTTCGTCCCCCACTGCAGGGACTCAAGCCTTCCTTATGGATGGTTAAAGAGCATGGGCCATGACCCTCCACGCTGGCCAAATGGGGATTGGCGGGTATTAACGACTACAAATGCAGCAGACCAACAACTTAACGTGCCTTCCGAAGCACGGAGAAGCTCGAGATATTAATTTGTTTGGTCATCCATCTCGTGACCGACCCTTGCGAAAGTTGCTTAACGACAACGATCGCACCGCGGCGGTTATCCACTACGCCACCGAGCTACTCCCATACCTATCAAGTATCTTTTAGTGAGGTGATTGTTCGAAATAGAAACAGCTACACATAAACTACACAATAAAGCTTCAAAATTTATGCATTATCTGTATGCGTTATCTTTTTGCCTAATAATGGATCTAGACCGTGTACTTAGTCAAGGAAAAGATATATCTATTTTAATATTATTGATAAGTTTATATGAGCTAAGATAATATGCAACGAAAAAAAGAAGACTCTCACGTGTTTTATTTTATTAAAATAATTACATAAATATATTTAAAATTACAAAGATTGATTTTTCGTTTGTCGTTGATCGCTTAAAAATTGTAAAGCACTTTTGAATATTCAACAATTAAATATCCAAATTAAAGCAATCTGTATTAAGTACCTACTACAGTTAAAATTTTCATAATCACGATTTCTTTGTTCAAATAAAAGTTGCTTTATAATTCCTTTATATGAAAGGTCCAATAATTGCGTTAAGGGAAAATTGAATATCAGCCTAAATTGAAAAACATTTGTTACTAACCTTGAATCAATCCAACTATCCCTTTTTGAAGCCTTTTTTACTTTTTTATTGATTTTGTACGTGTTTTTGTTTTACCTGCCAAAAATTACAGTTGTCACTCAGCCCTCTACTAATTTTCTCAATTTGATTCCCTAAATTCCAGTTTTTCATCATGAATCCTTTATTTCGAGCTATCCTTAAAAACATTATAAAAACAAAAAAGATAGACAAAAAATGTATTCCTAAGTTTTTCGTTTAGCCTGGCAATCAAATTCATATGCAACTATTAAAATAAGTTATTGTTGTATACATATATAGTGGGGGCTCGATACCTCACAGTTTTGTAGAAAATGTACTTAAGCGTGACGTAATGAGACATTTAAATTCAATGTATCGCCGTAATTACGAAAAAATTCAAAAAAATACTTGTTTAATATTCTTCAATATTAATACTTGACAAACAAAAATTTGTCGTCATCCATAGTATACCGACGCAGCAATCAAGAGGGCGAATAAACTAAACGTAAAAGATATATTTAAATAAACTTTCCGATTTTCGATTTTGGAGTTATTTAAATGAAACAATTTATAATATTTTATTTTAAACAATACACCATAGTACGTATATACGTTACGACAAATATATATTTGTCCATTGATTTCGTCTCTTTATCCCTCTTAAGCACAATTTCAATCATTTCTTGTTACATATGTTAAATAGTTTCGCAATTCGAATTTGTTTCCACATCAACAGATAAACGATGAATTTATAAATTAATTATATATTGCATTCACGATAAAATTTATGAGATAATGGTTTATTATACTTCAAGAGTATATAAACAACACCTGGCAGTACCCTTCACAGTCTACGTAGTTTGAGGATAAACAAAAAGTCAACATGGTTTTCAAAAAGGCTCTAGTATACGGCATTTTAACTTTGGTAAGTCTATAAACTATATATTATTATAAAACTTGGTCAGTAAAATTAAAGCAATTATACACGGTGTCACGTTTTATTTATGTTAGAATAAATAAAAAGACGACAAATAACATACTACTATTTAATTTTAAAATTATTTTACAATCATGTAGCAAAAAAATATATAAGTGGGTCGTGGGTAGGTACGAGGTTGAAAGCGAATGCGCCGCAATGGCACTACCCTGGATACGTGGCTTCTCCACCCAGTCCAGAAAACGTTTATGCTTCGGTACAGAGTGTTATGCGCTGGCGTCCGGAAAAATGCGGATCACCTTGTCCACAAGGGCAGCAACATTAAGTGGCTAACATAACCCCAACGAAGCTTCTAAAGAAGATAATTAATATTCTAATTAATATCAAGGCCGATGAATCTGGTACTGCCACTAGATTTATCCCAAGGACTAAGAAGCAGGCGAAGCCGGGTGTGACTACTAGGCTACTAATTACGAGTACCCGGAGTAATTAAAAAAAAGTATTCTAATTCTACTGGGATGAAGTGGCAGTTATAATAAAAGCAGAAACGGTTGCAAAATTAACTGATGGCACAATTACTATTCTACTTAACTAATACAGTAAAATAATACAATTGTCAATACTTAAAAATGTCTGTTACTTTGATGAAAGTAAAAGTAATCTTCCAATTTGGTAAACTTAAAAAGTACGTCGTCTTCATTAAATACATAAATAATTATTTCTCTGATATAGGTAAATCGCTAGCTTTATGTATACACAATATATTTAAATATAAATGTATTTTTAACACATTGCTATTATTAACGGAAAATGCTTAAAAAATCCACTTCGTCCCTGGCACTCTGACACGAACCCATGACCTTTCGCAATCCGGGCGACTACTTTAACCACTGAGCTACCCAGGACCTAACAGGACTGACGAATTTTTCAAGCACTTGTTACTTTTCGCTACTACAGGAATTGCTATTGTTAATTATTAAAAAAACAAGAAATCCTGCCTGTTTCAACACTATTAAACTCCACAATACTTTAGTCACTCTGTGATCATGGCACTTGCAGAAGTACTATCGGGGGTTTATTGAAAACAAACAATAATCACTCTATAAACTTGTTTAGTAAGTGTTATTTTTTTACCATTATATAATACTCAAATCTTCATATTTATTACAGACTATATTTAACTATCTAATTGCTGAAGAAGTGTCTTCACAGAGCTCAGAATTAGAGACTAGAAACAACCAACTTCAGAAAGAACAATGGTACAACCCTTGGTATACTGTAACTACATGCGACTTCGCCGTTCAGGTAAAATAGGCTTAATCTATACTTATAAGTAACAGCTTGCCCAGACTGACTGATCATCTTCGCCGAACGTTAACTATTAAAGTAGATCCGTGATCTTTGGTCAGTAGAATTAGAATGCGGAGTATACGCTCAATAAAGAAGGATTTTGGTAATTCTAACTCCAAAGGGGGGAAATGAGGGTCAATATGTTCACCGATATTTCCGCCAATTGTTGACCGACTTTCAATATTTTTTTTCATTCGACAGCTTAAATGACTGACGTGATGCCATTTAAATTTTATCAAAATCGAATCTGTAGTTTTCCTTTTATAACAAAACAAAATACGCTTTTCATCATGTATCACCTAAATATTTAGAAATATCTTCATTTAATGTATTTCATGTATGTATCTCAGCTAAAAACAAAAAATTGCGTATTATGAATTCATTCAAAATCCGAAAGTAGGATTTTCTATGCTGAAGGAGTATGTATATTTTTTATGCAAGTAGGTATGTCAATCAATTTCTTCTTGAATTTTGAACTAATTTCTATCAAACTAACTGTTTCCCCGCGACATCACCTGCGTAAATAATAGCCTAAGTCCAACGCGTATAATGAAGCTTCCCGTAGGTGAAAGATTTACAAATCGATCCAATAGTTTCGGTGGCTCTCCAATGCAAACAAACAAGCAATCAAATCTTTCCTCTTTATAACATGAGTATTGGAACTAATTATGTTGAACCAATAAACAAAATCTTCTTTTCTAAGAGTTTCACTATGTTCCATATTTTTATTAAAATACGTTTATATCTTTACAAATATTATAAACGATAAATTTATAAAGTATTATTCGATTATTTGCAGTGGTTCTGAAAATACTGGCCCGATTTTAAAAATTCTTTAACCTATGGTAAGCTACATCATATGCGGTGAACATAGGTTCCCGGAAATCAGCAAATAAAGCTATAAAAACGGAAGGTGAATTTTGTATTATTCAAGAAAATGCTATTCAAGTCGGGCGCCTAACATTCAATTAATAAACCTACAGAAGACCTCCGCTCGACTTGACCCCCTTCGATAAATAAAAATTTACAAAATAAAAAGGAGACTCTAGAATATTATCACCCTGCCAATCAAATAGAAAACTTCTATTCGTTGTTTATGTGCAATAAACAATAATATGCAATTTACTTGACATATTTATGATAAGTAATCCTCTCGAAAATTTAAAAACCGCACCTCTGTTTAGTGAATAAAATGTAAACGCCGCGCCGGGAGCAGGAAACTATTTCATACTTTCTACATATACTAATCATATAAATTGGAAAAATTTAATTGTTTGTTTCATCGAAGAGGCTCTGAAACTACCGGGCCAATTAAAAAAATATATTTTATCATCGCTTAACTACATCATACACGGATAACAAAACCTATAATCTACGCGAGCAAACACGCGTGAAAACAGCAAGTATACTATAAAGAAAAAAGATTTTATTGTTTGTTTTTTTGCATCGAATAGGTTCCGCACTACTGAATCGATTTTAATATTCGTTCACTGGTAAGCTACGTCATACGCATCTGGTTATATCTTAGACGGGCGAAGTTGCTGGAAAATAGCTAGTATTTTAGTACACCTAATGTTAGACCTAATGTTTGAACATAGCTTCATAGCATAGGCTTAGCATTGATTTATTTGTACTCCCTCAAACATAAAGTTGCCTGATAAAAAACTAAAATTCATCTTGTTTTGTTAATATATTTTTATATATTTTTCCATAGCCTGGTTTCTCTTGCCTGGATTGACGTCTAACTTCCGTATGCCTGTTCAACAACCAAGCGTACCAAAGGAACTGCTCAGGTCTGTTCCCCTACTGCAATAAAGGTATTTGCGCCCTCGTGCCGGAATCAGGATGCGCAGGAACAACTGGCTTCAGTACCTAAAGCTCAACCACTTTGTCAACAACTTCTCCCAGTTATTAAAATGTAACCGCAACTTTTTAAATGGTAAAAAGCTGACAAATTAGCGTTCACTAAAACACGATACGAATATATATATTATTATTCTATTATTTTGTTTTATTTATCTTGAACACTATATATGACGATATAAATAGTGCTCTCGCCAATGTACTACATTGGTTTAGAGCAGGTATGTGCAACCTTGGATATGTTGTGAGCCAAACTTTAGTGTGCAAATACGTTCGCGGGCTGCGTTTAAAAGTAGTACATTTTAAATTAGTGTTGTAGTGCTCAAATTTTTTGCGATAGATATCAAATATGAAATAATGCGTCAATGTTATTATAAATTAGGTACACAAATTCATTCAAAATTAGATTCCATCCAGTATTGGAAAGCTGCCGAATTTAAAAAGTTTCGTTGTATTTTGGTGCAGTAGTGCTTAAAGATTATTTATCATTCATTTAGCTTACCGACATATATCCGAAAAATTGCGGATATTTATGGTCAAGATACTGTAAGCATTAATATTCATAATTTATGCCATATTGTTAATGATGTCTTAAGATTTGGTTCTTTACCTTCTCTAAGTGCATATCAATTTAAAAGTATGTTATTTATAATAAAAAGAAATATCACCAAAGTAATGAACCATAAAAGTAAGTAGCAAAATATATACAGAAGCCTTCGAAATTAAACAACGAGAATAAAAAACTTAAACAGCCCTATCCTGTCGCTTAATATAAAAGTTTCTTAGAAACACGTGAAAAAGTGTATAATGCTGTCAAATTAGGCTGACAAAATATTAAAAGTTTTAAATAAAAAACAAAATAACAAGAGAAAACATTCTAAAAACACAGTCTTTTTGCGTTGCCTTTTCGTAACATGAGACCAAATTTCGATACGTTTGTGACTAGATGTGACGAGATTTTTTTATTACGATATAATGTGATTATTCAATATTATAAATTTTAGTATTTATTGCTGAAATAGTTTAATATTAAAAATATATATTAAAATAAAAGCTTTATTTTATAACACTGGTTACTCACTAGTAGCAAAAGAAACAAGTGTTTAAGGTCTTTGGTAGCTCAATAAAGTAGTCGCCCGATTTCTCTCAAAAAGAAAAAAGGAAGAATCTCAAAAGTTTATTGGTTTGAATCTCATCTCGGATATTTGAAACTTTTAGTTGTACCTATCAAATTAGGTATATTTTTTTATTAATTATATGAAATATTTACTACCTAGCACTCTTCACAGACCATCCCAAATAACAAATAAATCATAAACAAGTATTTCAATTTTCCAATTTTGCTCCATTTAAATAATTTTATTTATTTGAAATTAGAATACGATTGAAATGGTTATGAGCGTGGATTTTGAATTCAATTCGAACTCGATGATTTTTCTATACTAAGGGTAATTATCTCGAGTCCCGTCTATTTTTATAGAAGTTTATGAGAGATCTGTGCCTACCAAGACACTGAAGGACGATGACGTTAAAGAAAATGTAAAAAAAAAACTATAACTAAACCTCATCACTGTATTAGACATTATTTGATTTCAAAACAAAACGTAGATAATACAATCGTATCTCAGATTATCGCAGTATTATGAGTCATTGTGATTAAAGAATTGGACAAGATGTAACAGATATATCCACTGACAGTATTAGCTAAGATTATTCAAGTGACTCTTTTAAAATTGCTGTCATGATAAGTGAAGTCGTGCGACTTGGCAAATAATAATACGTAAAAAGATTAGATAATCTAGCACCACATTAGCACATTGAAATCACATTTGCCTTTATAATTTTAAAAGGCAGACAGCGGGTGTTTGAGACTCACCCCCCCCCCCCTGAATGTTAGTCAAAACGCGGATGGCATACCTACTAAAACACATCCGGCACCCTTACTGTTGGGGGAAGGGCCTGTGATCCAGCAGATTTTATTGACCAAACACAACTCTCACTACAGAAGAGTCATCATAGCCTCCTCCCAGACAGTCAGAGACTTGCAATGATCAAGTGATTGTCAATCATCTGATCTGCCCCTTATGAAGCTATCATACAACTAAAGCCACTTATGAGGCTTCACATGTATTATACAAAACCGATTGTTGTCAGAGTGGCAAACTTTAACACACATTACATTAAATGCTTGCCATTATTGCGAAGAAGTATATAATGATCTATCTAATATAATGATCTATATTTAAATACTAGAGCAAAAGATGCAATAACATTATTTACGATGTCTCTCTTCTTTTAGACTCGCATAGCTACATATTATGTAGCTGAAAATTCACTTGATGTCACCGATACTGACTTTAAGTAATTTGTTTTAATTAAAATAAATTAATAATATAATAATAAAAAAATTGTCTGGTAGATTATTGAAGAATATTATTAATTTAATTTATTAAGTAATCTAAATGTCGCATGGCGATACGCTTTCACGTCAAAACTCTGACGTAACGAGCTCTAATCTTCAATCACTATTTTCTAAGCAATTTCTTGTTAAATTGAAGTATAAAAAAAGTATCTAATATTTTTCTATTATCTGACTGACGGACTAAATAGAATTTTTTATTTTTAGCTCAGTCGTCATCCATATACATAAATACGCTGACACCGAACCTTATAATAAGACAATATGATGTTATCTAAATATTCTGAAGAACATTCCTAAATTGAACAGAAGTAAGTTTTTCAGTTGTTATCAGATTAACTAGCAACTTCCAATAAGAAATAAAAATTTCCATATAATTTAATTTACTTATGTTAATTAAAAACTAAAATACGAGTATGATTGTCCATGTTAAGATAATCATTCATGGTGATAGAATTATTTGTATGACCTTTATTTGTCATTTTAATTAGCTAATGACTTTTACTACATTAAACATAGCTAAAATTATAGTAATTAAATAAATATTTAAAAAATATCATACATTATTAGAAACAATTGAATGTAAAATAATTATCTGTTCGAAACAAAATTTTCAATATCCCGAATTTAATTTTAAGCACTCGGACGACTATAAAATAGTATCGGTTAATATTAAGAAATTAAATAAAAGACAAAAGATATATTCTAGGTATATATTTATATATGTATATACTAGTTGATTTCCTGCAACTTCGCCCGCATAAATTATACGGGTCAGTAGTTTATAGTATTAGTATAGAATATACACTGTTGTACGATATGTTAAAATTTTAAACTTCAACCATTTTTAGTATACCTATTTCTTGAACTACATTACATACTACTGATTTACTATGGCTAGCCGATGTTAATGTAAACTCATAAGTCTATTTCAAATTCTAAAACAGTTTCGTTTAGTAAACTAAATTTAATTCTAATACGAAACAATTTATATGTTACTCACTTTTCACGTAGATATAACATCATCATCACTCAAAGCATAATTTGGGCGGACTTCAACTCGCAATGTAAATGTAAATGAATTCAATATACCTAAAATATTTGCTTTTTGGAAGAATAGTTTTGAAATTATCAGATTATTTCTCTGGAACCCTTTAAATTTAGCTATTTAAATAATGAATGACAATTTTATCTACACTCACCACAACACATATGCTATTAAATATACACATTGTCATAATTAAAAACATAACAAATATATTCTTAATACAATGTGCTTAAAAATCCACTTGGTCCCTGGCACCCTGAAATGGGAATCAAACCCACGACCTTTCGCAATCCGGTCGACTGCTCTAACCACTAAGCTACCCAGTTTGTTTGATAAGAACTATGTTACTATTTGAACTATGTTATTTTGAAAATCTCTGGAATTACCCGCCCAATTGCAAACAATATTTTAATAAAAACAGAAAATATCTATAATTTTCTTCCTAACACGTGTTTTATCAAAACATGATCGATTTATCATGATTCAGATAACCACAGAGTAAAAAGTATAAAAGCGATGCTTTGAGATCATTCTCAATAAAACCAAATGTTGTGTAGCTAATATGGGTTTTCAAAATAAAATGTTTAATCTGTTGGCACTGGTGAGTAATTATTTTATTAGAACATATAGTTAGTTACAATTTGCAAAAGTTCTTCAGGCTAGTCTTAAATATTTTCGGATTATGTAGAAGCATATTGCTTATTAATAAGAATAGAGACAGACAATCGTCTGTTGTTCTCTGTAAGGAATATTATTTTTTTATTATTTTAAACTTCTTAAATGGGCGTGGTACGTCCGTACATTCTAATTTTTCACTAATAGTATCGATGGCAACTTAAGCATTGTTTGGTGCATTCAACGGTGACACAGTTTCCAAAAATTGCCGACAATCCAGTTAATTCATATTCACAAAACGTTGTTTACGAAGAAATTGACATTAGTGTTTATTAGTACTTCTGCCTCTGAATTTTCAATTTAAAGGATATTACGTTTAATTACAGGGCGTGAAAATGATAAAACGCAATATCGTATCTAGGTTTAAACATAAAACTAAACTATTCTATGGTAAATTTATAACTATTGAACTATATTAGTTTAGTCAGATAAACATGTTACTAGATTATGACCATAAGATTGAAATAAATTGCCATCGCATTCTCGCATTCGCCGCAAAGGTATAAGTAGATTTATGTTATTCTATAGCGTAAACAACAAATCGGTAAACTACTGTCTACTACTGCAATAATATTGTTTAAGAAACCTAAAATGAATAAATCTAATTTTACTTATTACTTACTTTCAGTGCCTCCTAATAGCATCAGTGGACAGTAAAGTGATTCAAGGTGGCCCACCTAGCTATCAAGATAACCCATCCAGCTTTCAAGGTGGTCCGCCCAGCTTTCAAGATGGTCCGCCTAACTTTCAAGATGATTCACCCAGCTTTCTAGACCGCCTACACAGTTTTATGGATAGCTTACACAGCTTTCTAGGTACACCCGATTTTGAAAGTGGCCCACCTCACTGGCATGATAACCCACCTCACTCTCATGGTGAGCTCCCTCACTCCCATGGCGAGCCCCCTCATTCTCATGGTAAGCCACCTCAGTCGCATGACGACCCACCTCACCTTCATACCAACCCACCTCCCTCTCATGATGACCCACCTCACTCTCATGGCAAGCCCCCTCAATCTCAAGGTGACCCACCTCACTCTCATGGCAACCCACCTACTTCTCATGAGACCCCGCCTCACTCTCATGGCAACCCACCTACCTCTCATGACGACCCACCGCACTCTCAAGGAAACCCACCTCCCTCTCATAGCGAGCCCTCTCACTCTCATGGCGGGCCACCTCACTCTCCTGGCGACACACCACACTCTCATGGCAACCCACCTACTTCTCATGAGACCCCGCCTCACTCTCATGGCAACCCACCTACTTCTCATGAGACCCCGCCTCACTCTCATGGCAACCCACCTACCTCTCATGACGACCCACCGCACTCTCAAGGAAACCCACCTCCCTCTCATAGCGAGCCCTCTCACTCTCATGGCGGGCCACCTCACTCTCCTGGCGACACACCACACTCTCATGGCAACCCACCCACCTCTCATGACGACCCGCCTCACTCTCATGGCAACCCACCTACCTCTCATGACGACCCATCTCACTCTCATAACGAGCCCCCTCACTCTCATAGCAAGCCACCTCATTCTCAGGGTGACCCACCTCACTCTCATGGCAACCCACCTCCCTCTCATGTCGAGCCAACTCATTCTCATGGAGAGCCTCCTCATTCTCATGACGAGCCACCTCACTCTCATGGTGACCCACCTCATCCTCATGATAGCCCCCTCACATCCCAAGGCGATCTTCAACAAAATCAAGATGTGTTACAAGACGAAAAAAAACCTAATTTTCAAGGCGGCCCATCCCAGTCAGATATCGGCCCATCTAATTCTAATGACGGATCTCCCACCTCTCAAGACGAATTCTATCAAATCCAAAACCAACATCAAAATGTGTTGCAAGAAGAATAGAACACCATCGGTGGATTGCATGTGGTAAAACCCCTGCAAGTTCCTGTGGAAGTTCTATACAACGTAGAAATTTATTGATAAAACTATAAAATGTTAATATTTTCTGATAATAAAAAAAATATTAGTCTGTTATTTTGTTTACTGAAATGACTGATAAATTTTATACAGCTCCAATTTTTTTTTTTTTTGTAATCATTAAATTAAGACGATACATTGAGTTAAAATGTCGCGTGTTTTGTTACATTTTCTACAAAACTGTGACGTAACGAGCCCCCACTCCTTAACTATAATGCCTATTATGTAAGCTATTTCTTGTTAAATTGAAGTAAAAAAAAATACATATCTAATATTTTTCTATAATCTGATTGACGGACTAAATATAATATCTTTTTTTATACCCAGTCGTTATCCCTATTCGCCCTTACCGTACTCGCGTAACTCATATATATTAGACGATTCTGTGCCAAAAAAATAAAGAAAAGGTTTTTTAAAAGAAGAAGTAAGTGTAATAATTAACATTTACGTCAAATAACTTGTTAAAACTGTCAAATTTGATAGCAACGCATATACTGTCAATTTTATACTGTCAGTTTGTTTCATTGTCTAAATACAGGTTCTAGACCACCATCGAACCTTTAAAAGTCAATTTAAAAGGAAAATGCATTCCGCATACTCCGCCTCCCCAGCACTTATTAGCGCGGTTAATGGGAAATAATCAACACCTTGGCTACACTTTAATGCAAGTGACTAACGAGAAACATTTATTTAATATTGAACAAAAATCACATACCTACATTATCACCCGGTTGTACATACGTCCATTTTGTTTTAATGACTACTTTAGATTCTAACGAATGTTTTAAATTTAAATTTTTGTGTCGGTAATGTCGCCTTAAACTAATGACAATTTTAATGGTTTTTTGTGCAACTGGATTTATTTTAATAAAATAAAATATGTAGGAGTTTTCTTTCTTTTGTATCTTAACGAAATAAATATCATAACTCATATAAACTGTTATCTAAAATGTTAAAATAGATATACCTGCTATCTTATAAAGTATGCAGTCTATCCATCATTAAACAAAAAGATAATATATATGCAGATAATATATACATTTTGATTCTTGTTTATGTATATCGATCACCTGACTAAAGATACTTGATAGGCATGGCAAAGATTGTTTTACACTGTGTCAGATGGTCTTAAACACTAGCAGTGTTATTATTAAACAAGGTTTAGCGTTGGAGTAAATTTAATCTAAGACTGCACTTAATATTACTCTAAATACATATTATTAAACAGAGATTTAGCAAAGATTAACCTAGTACGACGTTCTAAGGGAGTTCTAAGTAATATTAACCCCTAGAAGGTAGTAGGTTTGCTTATCCTCTGTATAATATAAATTGCAATTTTAGCATAAAAATTTACACGATGTTCCATCACTGTAAAGATTTCTCTTTTTCGGGCCTACTGCACGTCTTTGTATACGTGCAGTTTGTGGGCAAAATACTCGCAGAGGATATATAATTCCCTCCGAGTTCAATTTAATAACACATTTAGGGCGGTATTGGGGCTGTCTCGTTTTTGTAGCGCATCGGGCATGTTTGCTGCAGCGAACACCGACTGCTTTCACGCAAGTATGCGCAAAAGAGGAGCCTCCATGGTGAGCAGGGTTCAGGCCAGCTCCAATGCCGTCCTGGCTGTGATTGCTAGTAGGCTGGACTGTCCCTACATCCGACATTGCTGTGAAAGACACGCCCCACGATGTCGGAGGGAGAGACTATTTTAATGACGATATTAGTGACGAGTAATTTAATTTAATTTTTAGTGATTTCATTTTTAATTAATTTATTAATAATTGATTATGAATTTAATTGAACTGTATTGTATTTTATATGTATATTTTTAATTATCTAATTCAAATGTATCACAATATGGGTTATTATCACCTGGAATAAAGATTATTATTATTATTATTAAAATGCTAAACCTTGTTTATTAAAAGCACTATAGGATTTTTGGTGAAGTTAAAATCCCCGGTAGTTCCAACCACAGAGTTCAAAAAAAGAGCGACCTTTCAATCTGCGAGTCCTACCCTGCGCGGGTCCCAAATAACCTTTTCATTTGCCAGGTGCTGGGATATGTATAAAGCATTAGGTGTATCTGCAAAAAAGAGATTTGAGATTTTCATAGCGCAAAATGCTTTAGCTACTTGGAAATATATATGATATAGATTCAAAAATTAAATGAAACCTAGCTAGATAAACTATTTTTGCATTTCATAATTCTATTTATCAAAAATGATTATTGCTTCAATATGTTGCACTACTCTCTAAACTAAAAAAAAAAACGAATTTTATTTTCGCTTTGTTTTAACGTTGTTCCATAGTGACAAATAATCAAAGACATATTTACTCCGGTTATTTATAAAATCTAAAAGTTTGACAGGTTAAAACTAAATTTTATTTTATTTCTGCAAAAGAATACTTTTGATAAATTGTGCACTCACGAAGCTATTTGATTAATATTTTTATGATTATTCATAATATTATCATATCAGATCGTGATAACGAATGAACAAAAGGATATAAAAGCCATTTGTGTTCTGATCGATGACAATAAGAGGTGACTAAGACGTTGATATGGCTTTTCTTAATAATATAATCGTTCTGCTGGGACTGCTGATGCTGGTGAGAAACTATTATTAAAATTATGCATCTTAATATACTAGAAATCTATTCGATTTATTTAATTTGCAATCAACCTTTCTCCTTTACTCTTATATCCTGCCCGTGTAGTGTAATAAACTTGAGAGACTCAAGAAACAATCGAAAGCGACATAGAGAGTCTAAAGTATCTCGACGATTTGTACGAGACAAGTAAAAAACAAAGACTACGAAAATAAATATAGACCGTTTTGCAATAATAAATACGAAGTTGGTTCAGCCCGCATAGCGAGACACAACAAACTCGAGAGACTTGAGAATCGAGCGAAAGCGTGACAGAAAGTGTTTAGTCTCTCGACCATTTTTCAAGTTTCTCTATAGTTTCGTAATTTTGTTTCTTACTAGTCTCGTGTAGATCTTTTATCTTAAACTGTGTTATTATTGTTAATTTATGAATAATTTTATTCCGACTATTAAATAGTAAATTTTGCTTTAACCTTCCTATATATTTGTGATTTATATATTAGATAGATAACAAATTATTGAAATTTAATTTTGGAACACCAACTAAATAAATTAATAATTTTTTATTTAATTATTGACTTTCAGTGTACCGAACTACGATCAGTAAGCAGTCAAGTTTTTCAAGGTGTAGCACATAAAAACCAAGATCTCAACCGTAGACATATCCCAGATATGTATTTGGAAGATAGCTCTTGTGTTGATTGCTACACACGCCTAATATGTGGACCCACTGGTTGTGCACTGAAAGAATGTACAAACACCCTTTACCCTTATTGCAGAAACGGCCTATGCTCTGCAATACCAACAGACGAATGTACTAAAATATTATAATTTGTCTACCGATTTGTCTGAGAAAGTGCTGTTTCAACTTCTTTCCTCTCATTGTTTAATTTTATAAAACTTCCTTGGACTTAATCATTTAGCGATACAATTTATTTATAAAGATACTCGTACCTTCTCTACGTCGTTAATATGTTAGTAAATAAAATTTCATAACCTGATTGTTTTTTCTATAAATTACTCACATATATTAAATACATTATAAAAGAATATTCTATCTACTTATCTAATCTAACAAGCAGGATTACTTATGCATTTTGCATATAACTGAATATAACGCACTAAATTAGACGAAAGATTTTAGGATATCAACTTTACCAAATGATCGATACTAACTCGATATTTAAATCCCTCGACTAAATAAAACATTAAAATATATAAGGGTTTTATTTTTAAATATGTACAATAAGTGAAGCAGACGAAAAATTTAATTAAAGTAGGCGAGTGGAGCGTCGAAATGCCAAATAAAACACAACATCGTTTCTAATAAAAATTCTTTCAATGTTGTGTGTGCACTGATTTCTTGAATTAGAACCCATGTCAAGCCTTTATTGTATGAAATGCCAAATACAAGGGGCGTAAACGGTTAAATACGAGTTTTCTGGGGCAACGAAACGGAAACTTTATGTCATATTTGTATTGGATATATCGTATCATATTTTTGCTACACACCATTAAATTATGGTTCGTTCCTTTCCATTCCATTATATTTCTAAATAAAGATTTTTATTATATAAAATACTGGTGAAATAACCGATGTCACTGTAAGTTGATGTTAAAACAACCTATTTTGACAACAATGATAACAACAAAAATTGCACATATTATTTAACTTAATGATATCCTTAATTTTCTAAGTACACAATTCATTACGAGTACATCAGGTTACAACATTGAGTTACAACGAAATTTAAAATGTTCTTAATTATTTTTAACTTCATTTTCTTCAAATAAATAAAATTCTTAAGAGTCGCCCAAATCTCAAACCTAAATATTTAGGTATTGTCAAAGGTGTCACCTAACGACTTTAGGCAACGCATAAAGTTAGGACATGCATTGTGCAGCGCCTAGCACTGGGCATATGCGTAAAATGATATATACATTTACTTTTTGGCTATAACGGATGTGTCAAGGGATAAAATCAAATTAATAGTTTGAAGTTTAAGAAGTTTATGTATTAGAATACACGATGAAGACTTGGGTGCTCGTGTAAATACGAGACCATGTATATTTTTTCTTGTTTTGCCAATGCCGAAATATTTAGGTGTCAGATTTGGGCGACTCCTAAGTTTAGTGAAACCGGGCATTAATAATGGGGGTTGAAATTGCAGACTTGTACTGACGAATGGTTTCTAACTGCAGTTCCTGAACGGTCAAAACGGTTTCTCGTGCTGTATGAGGTCTCGCGCTGTCATGGAGTTATAATGGTGAAAATCGATTCATAAGTCGGGGCTATTTTACTCCTAGTT